AACTCCAAAGATGTTAAACCAGCATTTAGATACATTAATTCTTAACTCATAATTATGTAATCTTTCAAAAAGAGCTTTCAAATGTATCAAATGCTCAGTTTCGTCTTTTGACACAATCAATATATCGTCGAGAAAAGGAAATATTCCTGGCAGCTCATGAGTTACTTTATCAATAAAGCGTTGGAAGGTTGCAGGTGTGTTGCATAGCCCAAACTGCATTTTTGTGCTCTCAAAAAGTCCGAAAGGAATGACAATAATTTTATGGATATCAGAGGGATTAATTGGTATTTGATGATAGACTTTAACCAAGTCTAATCGAGAAAATACCTTTGTTCCATGCAACTCTGCTGCAAAATCACAAATTTTGGGAATAGGATACTTATCCTTCACTATCTGATTACAACCTCCGAATATCTCCCACAGGTCTCCATTTGTTTGTGCCTTTCTTTGACACCATGTGAAGAGGAGAGGAGTAATTACTTTTAAATGGTCGCATGTGACCAAAATTGATCATTTTTAAAAATTTCATGCTTAACTATTTGTAATCTATCTGGAGCTAGTCTCCTGGGCTTACGTGAAACCAGGAGGACGAATAGTTTCAATGAAATGCATAGTATTATGCTTAATTGTCTCCTTAAGATCAGGAAGCTTCAACAGTGAAGGATAATTAGACAGTAAGTTATCAAATACACTATTTGTAATAATTGTTTTAAGAGAATTCAAATGTGTGTTAATTACACTGCGATTAATTTTTAAATGCGCTTTTAAATGAACAAGCTTTTTGTTCCTTAAATCAGGTAATAAATGAAAATAATGCGAAAATTCAGATCCAGTATTTCTTGACACTTAACACACATAAAAAATAAAATTAAAATAGCAACGAAATCCAAGGTCAGTACTTTGAGATTTTTGTCCGTAAGCTGGAATAGGAGCCCGTTGGCTGCAGAAAAAACATGATAGGTGTTTGACACACTTCATCTTTGGTTGCTGAAAGGAGACTGATGTCTGAGCCAGTGTGACACAAAAATATTTTATTTGATGTTCCTGTCTCTTGTAAAACAGGTGACGAGACTCAGAGGGTAAAGTCATCATTATATTTTCCCTGGAACGTACCTGGTGGAACACACTTCTTAGCTTTCTCGTTAAATTTGCGATGATACCAGCAATAGAAACAATTCGAACCAGCCTTAGCTGAAGAGCTTTGCTTCCTATTATTGCAGTTTTTGGAAACACTGCGTGATCATCGTAGAGACAAAACCTCACCATACAATTTAGAATTATTAGATAAATTTACTGATATGGGTAAAAAAACTGGGCTTACCTGAGTGGGTGTAACTTCCAATATTCTTTCAACAATGCGGGTAGCTTTTGACGAATCAAGCGGCTCAACCTACGCTAGCATAGATTGGACATTTGGCGGCATTTACTGCATGAATAACTCTAGTAACAATGAGTCAGACACATTGTGTTTTTCAGCATGAGTTGTCATGACACAATGCAATTCTGATGGCTTTTTGTCTCCAAGTTGCTCACCGGCAAGAAATTTATGGATTTTATTGGTACTGCTTTTCCCACATTGTTCAGTAATGGCAGCTTTGAGATCTTCATAAGACGAATCTGTGCTTTCTCGAACCAACAAAGTAATGTCCGGTGGCAAATGAGCATCATAGTAGTTCAATTTCATCCTTGGCTCTATAACAGTCTTGGTTGTGGCTAAAGCAAAAGTTGTTTCACGCATAGCAAGCCATAATGCTGGGTCAATAGGAATGTAAATTGGTGTCTTAGCAGTAGCCGTCTCCTCCATAGCAGCAGCTGAAGGGAAAAACACAAGAATCCTGGAAACAAACTCCTGAACAAACAACCTGTCTGCAGCTTCATGCGAGTAGCCGGGTCGCTAACTTATGGTGCATAAGGGTTATGGCTCGGTGTATATCCTTCAAAGATGTAACTCTGCTTTGCTAAACATTATTCACACGCACCATGTTTTTAACACAACTATCATAACATAACAGAAAACTTCTACACAAAAATTTGTACATCCTACGCTCAAGCTAAAGGCGAAGTGGGTGAGTTTGCTGTCGATTTGGCAGTTTTTACGTACACAACATGACGTGGACTGGCGGCACACACAGCTGAGCATCAGAGTGCCACACCCCATATCAGATACTGAAAGGTGTCTTTTTGTGCCTTGCATTGCATTTGACAAAATATTATGCATTTTGTATTCTGAAACAAGAACTATTATTTTTTCCAATTTGATCATTTTGTCTAGTTCAATTCAAACTCTTTGTGATTTAGAGTGTCAGTGTACTACTCACAAAAGTATGCTTAAAACTTTTATTCCTTTTATATCCTTTTATACTTTTTTCCTTTTTATACCTGGAATTACTGTTTTTTTTTTTTTTTTTTTTTTGCCAATATATAATTTTTTCAAGATGCTTTTGATGCTGCCTCATATATTGTAGTATTTCTTAGTATTGATGCAAGCTCTCAGTTCGTTGATGTTTCTTTAAATAATCAGTTCAGAGAAGCTGGAAGACACTGACAATTAATTGTAATTAATAATAACACACAGCAAAATAAATAGCTGGTAATAAGTCAAGGAGAGCACAGGTATTTAACAAATTATCCTTAGCACATGGTAGATGTTATAAATTTCTGAGTTCTCTCATGAGGTAAACTCTAGAATGCTATTCAGTTAACGGTTTGAACCAGTCTCTTTGATGTACTTCGAACTGCTAATTGACAACTGCTACTGATGGTTGTTAAAGCTCTAATTATATTGTGGGGCACAGGTTTGTGGAAGCTTCGGGAGAAATGGTTCTTAAAGCTTCAAAAATCCACTTTCCCAAACTTTCTAGAAAGTTGGTGAAAAAATGCCAAATGGTGTCAGTTTGGCTGTCTGTCTTTTTTTTTTTCCCTCAAAGCTCATCAGGAGCATTTTCTAACCATATCGATGATTCTGATTTGCCACTATTAACACGTTGAGCGCGGGGACCGGCAGTGAACTTTCTGTGTGGCTGGCATCTGTTCCTGGAAACCGGCACTGGAATTTTCATTTGGCTTATGAAAGTTAAAAAATAAATATAGTCTCAATGAAATGTGATCAAATTTAGTTTTAATGAAATGTATTGAAACATTCTAAACAAAAATATGGCTTAGCTTTATGGCTTAGCTCGCTGCCGGGTGAACGGAAAGGACAGCAAATTTGGCGCCATGCTCAACGTGTTAACAATTTAGACATTGCATGATACAGAATTGAGAGGTCCGCAGATCTGTTCTAGAAATAACCACTTATATACAAAACATATGGCTACATTAATTAAGATAAAATAACATGCTGAACAAGTAATAATTTAGAAGTCAAACAGCAAAAATCAGCATTATATTTTCAAATTTTCACAGGACTGGTTTCGATGCTTTTACCGAACCATCATCCTCAGCTGCCAAGTTCAATAAAACCATCGAAACTAGTCCTATGAAAATTTGCAAATATAATGCTGATTTTTGTTGTTTGACTTCTAAATTAATGTGTCTACATATTTAAGTAGACAAAAATAAACCCAAAAATTATTACCCTAAGTGCAGTAACTAAACAAAAATATAAATTAAATGACTATTATGATGATATTAGAACACAAAACAGCAATGCAATCAAATGGATTTAAATACAAAAATGTACAACACTATGTTGCTACCCAATTGCTGCCCTTTTTTCAGTGTTGGTAGGAAAATCAGCTGTTGGCCTTGGAGTACAGTTTCAGTTTCCAGAGAAGGCATGGATGTCTCTTTTTGGAATAGCACTTAAAATATTATTAAACTGAAAATTGTCTCAAGAGGTTTTTGGAAGAGGAAGAGAGGCAGGAGATCACTGGATTTGCTCCTCCCCAAAAGGTTTCCTAGCAAAACTGGGACAGAGATCCCTTTTCTGATGGATCTACTTCAATTGCCTCCCTGTTTTAAACCCTGGGCAATAATCTTTATGATGGGATGGCTAAATGACCGTTAGGTTTACCCATTCCTGATGAATGCTTAATTAGCAAATGTCCAGTCATTGGAAAAGTAAACATATTGGTAGTGTATGGAGATATACAAGGTGATTCCAAATCGTGGTACAGACTTGGACGGGAGGTACAGAACAAAGATGTGAATAATATTCACATAGGAAAACCAGGTCAAAATTTATTTATTTAGTCATAAATGCAGGGTCTCTTACTTCACTGAAACAAGATGTTTACAAAAACTGTTCAATATTCTGTCCACCAAGAGCAATACATGATTTACAGCGTTTATGGAGCGACTGGTGTGCACTGGCAAAGATGCCAGATATTTCACGCACACATGCAGCAGCTGTTGATATATGAGCAATGAGAGTTGCATAAACAAGGCTCTTCAGATATCTCCAGAAAAACTAATCAAGGCTCGGTAAATCAGGAGATTAGGGTGGCCAAGGCACTGGTCCACCATGATCAATTCATCATATCGCAAAAGTGGCATTCATGTAATTGCGAACAACTAGAACTTGCACAATACCAAAATATTTCTTTAGAAGTGAATAAACTGCACAAAGTCAGAATATCCAGGGTTTCAATCATTTTCAATAATTTAACATTTCAAATGAATGTCTGCCATTTTGCGAGGAATGCTGCTTTTATATTTTGTTCTGGCATCTAGAATGGTGGCAGTATTTCTGTGTCTTGCAATAAAAATGTGATATTTTAAAGCTGTCTGTATCTGTTATGTAATTTAAATCAAAGGTAAAGTAGCATTTTGAAGTTTATTTTATCGAAGTTCGTTTAAAAATAATATTGTCAAATATGATGTGTGCTTGTTTTTTTAATAAGAATTTCCTGTTTTTTTTAATTGCTTCCCTGTGATTAGTTTGGTTAAATGAGGTTTTGCTATATTTTCCTGGGGTGTATAACTATTAATTTTAAGCTTCCTTCTGTATATGCAGTTACATGCAAAATTTGATTTATGTTTAAAATTTTTTTAACCAGATCTTTCTGCCAGTGTTATGACATGAAGCCACACAGCACAAAAATATTCAAAGATATTGTGAATGCTCTGGGTTCCTATGTTCAATCAATGTTCATATCTACCAATGCTGGGAATCCTGTGTTATCAAGTACATTATCAAGTGGTACTCCACCTCCCTCTGCTGTGCAAGGTCAGCCACCAGCTTTAGTTGCTGGATTGCCAGTTGGACCTGGAGTTACACCACAGGCTGCATTTTTGTATCGTGGCATTTGGCTTCCTATGAATCCTGTACCATCTGGAACTTGTAAACCTGTGTTGTAAGTTTATACTATTTTTCGATAACAGTTTGCATAATTTTTAATTTAAGTGTAATTTACATTTTAATATGAACCTTCTAGAATAAAGAAGTTAAACGGTACATGTGGATTTTGCTCATTAGGTTTTTGACAGTTAAACTTTTTCTGATTTGTAGAAGTTACCTGGGTGTTAGATGAACCTGTAATACCCAAGGCATTAAAATGTTTCACTTGCAACGAGCTTAAGTGCCAGCAGTGAGAATCTTCAGTTTTCATTGCATAGCATGCTTTACTTTCCCTTCACAAAGTAACGCCAAGAACTATGACTACATAATAATCTAGTGTGATATAGAATTTTGTTCCTCATGAGTATTCTGTTTAGGGGGAAAATTACTGTACGTTTCCTCTAAGACTGGTCTAAATTGGATGTGGAACCTAAAAGGTAAAAGACTAAAAACACGTTTTAGTTGAAAATTATTTTCTTCTTCTATCGCTTCACTTTGTTAGTTTTTAAATTTGTAAGGCTACATTTCTTGATTTGGTCTGGTAAGTTTCACAGTCTTGAAATGTTACATATATTGTAGGATTAATTAAGTCTCAAAATTTTTGACTGATTTGTTACTGATTGATTATTGACTGATAAATAACTGATTATCTCTGAAATACGGTGCTGTGACTTAATTATTACTCATAATGTGTAACTCCTACTTCATATAGTTGTTTGTTTTGTATAGTTGTGCACTTTGTTAGCCTTTTTTTTGCATTAAGTGGGTTCTGTAATGTGTGATATATTTATTATTGCAATTTACTATTATAATCATTTTACAAAAATGTTTATAGAAACACCTTTCAATATTTTGACTATGTATCTTAAATTAATGCATTTTGTTTAATTAAAATATTTAATTAATTTGTACATTACTTTAGTTGACTGATAGAGTAATCCATATATCAGTTTGAAAATATGTTTTTGAATCTTTGAAAAATTTTTTACTCTGAAAGTTAACATTTATATTTTGCCGTGAGAAAGATGATCTCCTATATAGTAAAAAATGCTACCTTCGCTTTTAGAAGTTTTGAACTTTATCATCAGCTCTGATGATTGTTATTAATGTTATCTTTTAGATATTGTGAAATGTTAATTTTTTAAAAAAATATTGTATGTAAAATATAAAGGTATGTTATATAGAATTTACAAATGAAATTTTTGATGTGGGATTTTTTTTTACCCTGATTAAAATTTTTTCAAAATTATTTTAAAGGATGTGTTACAAATTCTTGTTATTTGTTTATGTGATAAAAATTTTTGTTATTTACACTGTTGCAAAAGATCTGTCTTTTATGATGATTTCATTTTCAAAGTTACTCACATTGCTTGGGCATATCTGCAGGTTAATTGATGTTAATCCTCTTCACGTTCAAACTAGGCTTTGCTGTGACCAAAAGAGGCAAATAAAAAACGAAATTTTCTATACTTTATTTTCTAGCTGAATTTTGATAATACATAAAATTCATTTGAATTTCGAATTTCTCTACACCAGTTAAAGTCAGAAAAACATTGAAGGTGTGCTAATTGCATTTTTGTGGGGAAAAAACTGTGCCCTTTTTTAATAGCATTTTGTGGCTTATTTAACCCATGGTGACATTTAAAAGAGCAATACCCTTCCAACATTTAACTGGATTCTGCAAGTCTACAAGTAGGCATTAATTTGCATTTTAGTTTAGTTATTTTTTATGTTAACAATAAAATTCTCTGTAATAATAATCGTATAGACTTTGTGTACTCATATGTGTTATATTTTCAGTTTAGAACTTCTTGATAGATTAGAAGCACCGGGTGTACCTGATGGCTATGGAATTTCTGTTGCATATTCCTGTCTTTTAGATGTTATAAATAGCATTGCAGCTATCATTCAGCATGAAAAACCTTCAGACACTTGTTCCCAGGACGAATCAGATTTACTTAACAAACAAGAAGTTTCTGATTTGCCTCATGTAAAACAAAGTTCTAAAACTGAGCAAACATCTGAAAATGATCCAGTTTGTGATCAACCAAGTGATGAATGCCCTCCTGAGCTTTCAGAACAAATAGTGAATTCAACATGGTGTGGACTTTTAGCGGCATTTACTCTGCTCATTGATGCAAGGTATAATTTTTAGCTATGTTTAATGAACTTTAAAAAGTTTCTTTAACAAATTATTTCTCTATTACAGAATAGAGCCCCAGCACCCAACAAAAATTCTTTTTTAAGTTTTGCGTTTTATTTTATGGACACTGAAAGGCATTCTGTAGCTCAAATGCAAAAATTATAGTGTAGAATATCAAAGCACAGAAGATATAATTTACATTTTTAAAGTAAGCAGTAGGGAATTTTGGAGCATTTGAGCATGAAAGTAAATGAATTTTATAAAAGTCTAATATTAAATGAAATTGTGTCTTTCTGATTATCTGCACCCCCTGCAAGTCATCAACCGATGGTGACGTAATGTTTTCTAAGTTAAGTCATGAAAGATAACCATTTTGAAGAATGGTGGCACAGGACAGGTAGAAGGTAATAGATGTATTGCTGAACCTAGCTGAGCGTTAAATTTCTGCCCCAATTTAAGGGAGGGAAGTCCACTCCTCCTTCCCTGCCACCAGTACCTTGACAGGACTTTTGGCTCTCCTTACCCCTTTGGCACACAGACACAATACACTTACAGGTATCCATGTCTTCTTGAAAATTTGAGCCCATTGGTATGGCAGTCAGCATCACTAACCACTGTATGGTAGCACATTAAGAATTGCATAAAACAGCAGCCAAATAACAAAATTAAAAATGCAAGAAATGCCCATAATAAAACATTTACCTTTTTTACTGTGTTCTCCATGTATATGTAATGATCTGTTTTAACTTTAAAAAATATGAGACCTTGCAGAAATTTTATATTATCGTGGTATAACCTGCCAGTGTGCACACTATTATTCGGTCCATGTACATAGTGGTCTGTTTTTAAAAAAATCATAATCGCTCAAATTTTGCATTGCATATGCTGTTGTTTTACCCTGTACACAGTGATCTCTTTTCACTTTAAGAAACATGAAAATTGTACAAACTTTGCATCAACACGCATGTTTTATCCATGAAATTTGCATCATTTACAATATACAGCTTCATGAAACATGAGTTTTTGCTTGCTTTACTTTCAGTTTAAATGTCATATTTCTGAAGAAATGAACTGCTTTCTTTTTCATCAGCCAGCAAACTCTATTTAAAAAAAAAAAAACACTAATGATCGCAGCTTGTTTGCTGTGCTCATGGCAATATAGTGTTTTGTCAATTGCCATTTGAATACTTTTCAGAGGGTTGTGGATAATAAAAGTACCTTAAAATATGCCTTTCTAAATTCTGGAAAATGTCTGTATTTATACAGAATTTGTAGTGAATATATGCATTGAATTAGTGTGTTACTGAAAATCGCTAAAATTTTCACAAAGGTAGAGAGAGGGTATCAGACACTCATTCTTTTAGAAACCACAGTTCTCTTTAATTAAGAAATTACCTGCAATATTTTATGAAAGTACTGTAGAAAATGAAACTCATTTTTGTTAAGATCTGCAGTCTTAATTGATATGTGCAGTGCTTCTATTGTGTATGATTTTTGGTGGTACATTTATATGCTTTGCTGCAATTTTATTTTATCCAAGATGTCACATGTTTCTGACTTTGTATGGTATAACCATATGAATTTATGAAAAAGTCACTGCCATTTAAAATATGTTAGTAATTTGTGTTAATTGGTAGTAATAGTAATTGTGTTATAAGATCATTGGAAATTTGCATTAGTTGTCTGCAAATATCCATCAAGAACACCACAGTACTCTTAAAATAGGTTGAAGTCATCTTACTTTACTTATGAAATTTTAATGAAGTCTCTTGTTCCATTCTTACATGAATGCAGAAGAGTCTTATTTTTTTTTTTAAATATAAAGTTTTTCCATCATTGAATACTTTATTTTCAAAATGTATTTTTTTAATTGAGAATTTATTATTTTTTATGTACTTTTGTTTGTGTGCTCATGTCTGATCAATGGTAATCATAACTGTATAAATGTATAATTTATTCCTTAAATTATTCAAGAAATTAAGTTCATTGTGTTGTTCTCAATATATCCTTTTATGTCCACTGGTTTTCAAATGACAGTTTTACCTTTCTTTATATTTTCTGAGTGAAGAAATACAAAATTCTTATAAGCTTCTGTTACTATTAGTATGCCTATTTCATAATTATTGTACTTTCTTCAGTTTGTGATGGTTCCCATTGATGTAATGAATCGAATGTCATTTACTGGCGTCCAGTTCCTGAAATAACCATTTTTACTAGCAGTCATACACAGCTGTAATGTTATACTTTGCAGAAAAATATGCTGTTTTGATTCATCAAAAAGTATTTCTGTTATAGATGCACTAGTCTTATCTAGCTCAAAGTTAGGATCATGTCAATGAATTGTTTAGCCCATTTGCACCATGAGTTCATAAATGTACTTAATTAATGTGGTGATATGAACGATAGGCCTTGCTGCAAAAAAGGACTTCTGTTCACGCTGCCGTATATCTGGGGGATTATTTTTAAAAGTACAGCAACCAAATGTCTTCCCCCCAAAACCTGAACCTCAAAGGAGCACAAATGAACAGTACAGAGGGAAACAAGGTGATACACCATTCAGATTCCAGTTGATAAAGTGTACATTTGTTTTACAGAAATGCAGACATTCAAAGTGGTCATTTCACTGAACTCATAATGTATTTATAGCATATGAATCAATTTATTTATTTATTTAAGCTACGCATGTCCATTTTGAGCCATCATTTGAATTAAACTATCAAACTTTCATAATTAGAAAAACTATATTTTATAAACTTCTTTCAAGCAATTCTTTTACCTATCTTTCTATTACTTGTATCAAAGATATAATCTTTGGTATCATCATCGTTAATGAGGATCTTCATGTCTGCTGTTTTAGTTTTCACTGGCTTGCAATTAAATATTAATTGCAATGCAGTTTTGTTTTTTTAATTCTCATTTTTAGTTGTATGTAAATCAATGTCATTTGTATTGTCTGTTGTATATTCAGCAGCATGAATTAAATGATTCTGATTTATTCCTTTGGATAATAGAGCCACTTCTCTCAACATAAATATCTGTTTGTTTTATTGCCTGAATTCCATTTTTAATGGCTCTGTCAGTATTGTATGGAAGCACTGTTCAAATTAATATGTTGTTTGTATGAATCACTTTCAAGTAAGATCTGTTAGTTTTAATATTATTACTTTTGCTTCTGCATATGGAAAGTTATTTATGAGCATTTATTTATCAGTTTTAGAGTAAATATCCTCTCTGATGAAATTAATATTGCTTTTTGTGCCTACTCCACACTTTAGTGTCCTATATTAGTTAAATAAAAAAATTGAGTTAAAATTTCTCTTGTATAAATATGGAACAGCCATTCATTTGAAAATATAACCTTGACTTTATACCATATAGCCTTAGCCAGATATTTCAGGATAGAAACAGTTGTGACATTTGGCAGTGAGGAATGAATTATTTAGTACTGGTTCTCTTTCAACTGCCTGACAGGTATACATGGTGTCTTAAAAGGTCGTTGCCAAACATAACATACTGGTCTGCGATACCATAACAAACAAGATTTATATAGGAACTTGTGTCAAAAAATGCAAACAATGACAGCTAGAGAGCAATGTTTTCAGACTTATGGGAAAATGGGAAGCGGGATCATTTCAGGCGAGTTCATCGCAGGAGAAGGATGAATCAGTTTACTAACTCAGAACTGGCCGATATGCATTACTTGTATGGTGCTGTGGACCAGTTACATGGCCACTACAATCCCCCAACCTGATTCCCTTACATTTCTACCTGTGAGGGTACATAAAGTTCACGGTATACGAGCCAGCCAGAGCCCACCAGTGGCCGAGCGGTAAAGTCGCTGAACACTGGTAGTCGGTCCGAGGTTCGAATCCCGCGAACGGGCTGGCTGCATGGGCGTTTTCGTGGTTTTCCCCATGTGTAACATGTATACGAGCCAGTTTCCCTTAGAAAGTCCTCCACGAAGGCATTCCTCCCCTTAGGCAGATAGCCCTCGAGGCTTTGTCATAATCACACACACACACGAGCCAGCCAGAACATCAGATATGGATCTCGTCACTGCTATCGTGGAAGTGGCGGCATGTGTCCGTGACGCACCTACCATTTTGAACAGTTCATGAATCCAAGCATCAACATTGTGAAATATGCATTGTGGCAAATGGAAGGAATTTTAAACATTTTCTGTGATTTAGCCATGTTCTGTAGTAAAAATCTTACTAATATCTCTTTGGACTTACTTTCTTTCTCCCTTTGTACGTCTGCGAACTGTGCCCCGTAGCGGTCACCGGATGCATTTTTTGATATAAGTTCCTATGTAAATCCTATTTGTCATGGTATGACAGACAAGCATGTTAAGTTTGGCAAAAACCTTTTGAGACACCCTATATTTGATCAGTTGTATTACTTGAAACTGTCATTTTGTAATTGTAGGATGAACCAGTGAAATTCACTCTGCAGTCCACATCATGCATTCATTGAGTTTTTCTCTGAATTCCATTGTAATGATTGTGTCATATTTCTTGGGTCTTTATTGTGTAACAGGTTTTTCGTTACCTGAAAGGGACACGCATTTTGCTGTATGAGCAGCTATTCATAATATGTCATATGCTACATATAACATAAGCATCCTCCTATGAATATTGAATGGGATGCCTTTGGATAATAAAAAGCATATGTCCGTATGTTTGCTTATGGAGGAATTTTGAGTTGAAATACCATTTTCAACCAGCATATCATGTATGCAAGTCATTTAACTGAATGTGAACTACTGCTATAAATTGTACTGTTGCATTTGTTTGTTCTCTGCTGTGTTACCACCTTTTTATTTGACTGAACCTTCTAGTTCATTTCAGTTGTTATAGGCATTGTCATTACTTCTGTTGCTTACTACTTTGGATTGTAATAGACAGTTTAGTGAAATGTGTCCAAAATGGTTTCAGCCAAAACTACTTGATATATTTTTGCTAATTTGAACAAAAATTTCAACTAGTGAGTCTAATGTTTGCAGTTAAGCACTTTTGTGTATCATTTCAAGTTCTTTCTTTCTTTTTTTTTTGAAAGAAAACCACCATTTTTTTTCCCATTTGCAGTTTAAATGCAATACATAGGAATATTATTTTCTCGTATTAGACAGTTTTTTATGAAAATACATTCAGATAGTTAACATAGTGTTATATAACATAGTTATTGAGCTCCTGCATTTCACAATGTAACAAAATGTGATCCGTAACACCTTTCTTCATTATTAGCTTTCTCACTTTTTCATAGTAAGAAGGTACTTTTAAAGTGCTTTATTGTTATTTTCTCTCTTTTATCATAACATTTTATGAAGCTGATTTATCTTTATACTTAGAAGGAAATTCTTGCGTACATGCAAGTTCTATATTATTCCATAACCTAATTCGTTATGACATATGGGATGTTTTGTAATATGTTTTCTTTGCAGATGTTAATTTTTCAGATTCATGTAATGCATATAAAGCTGCTATCTCTTCAAAATCTGATGTCCAGTTACCCATTATTAATTAGGTGATTTTTTATGTTATGCCCTTTTCTCAGAGAAGACTTTATTGTCTTTCTCCTCGAATTTATCTTATTATGTTTTTTATTCATCTCCAGTTTACTCTATATTTCATCAAAAATAATACTCTTCACAAAATTTCCTGTTAATAACTGATTTTTGTAATTTCATTTGATTGTGTTATTTTTTCTTTTTACTGAAATGCATTTCTTATTTAATGTTCTTTCATTTTTATGGATTTTCCTTATCTCTTAGATCCTTTCTTCAATTTCATTCTGAATCCTTATACTTCATACTTCTTTTGGGAATTTTTTTCTTAGTACTTAAAATTATTTACAATGATTTAGCGTGCTTGTTTTTTTCCTGGGGGGTAGGCATGTCGTAAGTTTTATATACTTTTCTAAGTATTTTATTTTAAAGGAGTATTTTCTTAGTTTTATATAATATCTGTAATATTTGTCTTAATTTTCAGGTCCATTTATCAGTATAATATTTTAAGCTATTTAATATATATGTTAGAAGAAATTTAAAAACATGAACAATATAAACCTGTTGTGAAAAATAAATAATGTAGTATTTGACATGCTATTCTTCTGCCATGTTAGATTATATTAGTTGCAGTGAAAAATGTTGAAGAAAATGACTTCAGAAGGCATGGTTAAATTTTGAAATAACATTAGATTTTTAAATTTCACATTATACTGGTATTAATATTAAAGATATGCATTTTCACTCTGTGCATTCAGAATTGATTTTTCAGTCATAATAATGCAAAAATAAGTTGTGTATATCTCCCTTTCATTCTTCCTTTTCTTTTCTTTTCTTCAACAGCAAAATGTAATATTTTCTTAGTATATTGAGTGGATTTTTTTTAAGGACTGAGCTTCTTTCATTTGATTTTTGTTATATAATTAAGATTAAATTCTTATAGAGTTGTTGATTCACAAGCAGAATTAAGATTATTTCCATACACTTATGGAATTAAGATCCACTTGTGAATAACTGGTATATTGTTCATTCATAGAATAAATGTTATGAATTAAATGCAATATAAGTGCCATGATGGGTGAATCCATTTTTCAACTATTTTATGTATACATTTTAGAAGTTTAGAGCATCACAGTTGTTGATGTAGATAGGCAGCAGACTACATGTTAGCTGGATTAAAGCTGCTGTGATAAGAGGGAAGGTTATGTTACTGACGTTAGATTAAGAATGGTGATGTTACTTTATTTCTAAATAGTTACTTCTAAATAGTGCTTTGTTACTACTGGCTTATAAAAATGGACTATTACAAGTTAAAACTTTATATATCACTCATATTTCTCTCTATAAATGCTGCACAAAATTTGCAAATCAAATTCATGCTCTGAATTGTGTGTCTATGGTGTGTATTGGGGGATGGGACCAGAATGACCTCTAAGAAAAATATAAATGAAAAGTTATAATGTCACATCCACTTCAAGGAAAGTAAATATTTTAGACTATGTGGAAACACAGCAGAATTAAACTCTGTGTCACATCTAGTTTTAACTAACTTTGTGTTTAAACAATTTTCATTTTCTAGCAGTTTTTCAGTGAGCTTGTGAGTGCCAATGTATGTAGCTTTTGTTTATGTTGTGAAAAGAGGATAGGAATTCTTTTAGCTATAAAAAAAGGTTTTTATTTGGATTAAATGCATTAAATGTTCACTTTACTAAATCACACGAATTCTGGTACCTTATTTTATTCCATGTGTTAACAATCTGTTTATGTGTAATAACATGCTTGTGAAAATATTAGGCTTTCGTACTTAATTCATGAAGACAAAGCCTTTAATATTTTAAGATGTACTGTTATACAATAGTTTATAGATGACTTTTAGTCAATCAAATTTTCACACTATGCAAACGTAATTGATCCTATCATATCCAGCATTAATACATTTGAAAGCATAGTATTATTGATTACTTGATAATCTATCAGTTGTGATGTTTTATAATGTTTCCAGTTAAGTTTTCTTGCATGAAAATGACATCATAAAATTCCATTGTTATTCTCAAAAGCGGTGTATTGTATAAATATAATTCTTTGAACTTACTTCACTTACTAACAGCGATAGATGTCACTGTGCGAAGTTTGCACAGTATACAGTATTTACCACCATGTATGTGCATGCATGCACATGAATATATATAAAAAATGAAATAATAGAACAACAAATTATGTGCATGCACATGAATATATATAAAAAGTGAAATTGAGCAACAAGTTATTCTGTAGCTGTGGTAAAATTTATAATAAAATTTAAGCATTATTATTATGCATTCCTTTACCACTTAGAAAACTTATTTTTAGGCAGAATTTAGGTTTTTATCATTGCACCCTTAACCCTTTATTGATTCATAACAACATACAGTACAAAGTCTTTAATCCAGACGTCCATAATCTGGAATGATCTATAATCCGGACCTCAAAGCTGCAAACTTTCTGCGCATGTGTTTACGCATGCGCATAATATCTTTACGCATGCACATAACACATTTACGCATGCATGTTCAATGGATAACGGACGGTATAAGCTAGGCTAAAATTATCTAATTATTTATTTCAGTTAATGTTGCAGATTGCATTGTTCCTTAATCTTCTAATTGGATCCAGCTTATTATTTTTTGCAGTCTGTTAGAGCAATCTTATAAAAAGTAGGCTTGAACTTTCGATTATGTCAAAAAGAGTTTCTGATTCTGGAGCTGCCAAAGGATCTACAAAGCGAAAGCATGTTTCGATGTCAATCAAACAAAAAGTGGAATTGCTGAAAAAAAAATGGATAAAGGATAACTTAAACACTTACATTGAAAAAAAATGTGAAAAAAATGTTTAATAAAGTAAACAAATAAATATTAAGGTTTTTTTTTTTTTGTAAAGTTTGATACCCTTTAGATCATAATTGCGCTTTATTTCATAAATAATGGTTTCATATTTTTAATTTTATAATTTCTGCATGCCATCTTACCAGATTTAAATTGATGATCTATAATCCTGAAAAACCACTGATCCGGATCGAAGTCCTGACGAATCCGGATTAAAGACTTTGTACTGTATTACTTTTTCATTCTTAATCTTTCTCTCAGTATACACCCATTCATGCCCCTCCAAACACACACACACACACACACACACATATATATTCAATGAATGTGTGTGTAATGTTATAGTGTGATAATTAAAGAAGTAAATGTATGTCACTAGATGATCCTGTAATGCTGCATGAGACATTAATAATACTTGCAAAGCAAGCAGAAAAAAGAAAAAAAAATTATTGAATTTGTTTACCACTTTTTTTTAGGAAGGCGGGTTTTGTGAGCAAAAATTTTTACTTTTTACAGCTGACTGCTACATGTTTTGACATAAAATGTTTGCTCAACATCTACAAATTAAAATACCATTCCAAATTTTTTGAAAGCATTTAGTAGAATTATATTCACAGTTATTTTTTCAAATTATATGTAATCACAATGACTGAAAATTTTGCTTATCTGTACATCAAGAATAAGTCCAGTGTATTATTTCTGAACTTGAGAAAACTTTTGTAATTTAAATACCACAAACTTAAAACATAGGAGTCCTCATTTTCTAAAACACAACAAATTGAGAAATCTCCCTAATATCTGCAATAGATTTCATTTCGTCGAATCTGGAACTCAAATTCTTAATGCAAACCTAAAAACCTTTTTCTTTTAAAGCTTGTGCAACAAATTCTGTAGCCATACTTACCACTTTAGTTGTTGCAAGATTTATTCTCTTATTCTCATAAAATCTGAGAGGCACAGCAGCGGAGGCAATTCTGTAGCCATAGTTACCACTACAATTGTTGCCAAACTTATTCTCAAAAATCTTGGAGGGACAGCAGGGGGCAGGAGCAATGTGTGATCCATAGTCAACCAAATTCTAATCACATTTTTGAAGTATACAACAAAAAGTCTTAAACAGACTGGGAAGTGCCTAGGAAAATGGAATTGTATTTATATGCATAAAGTTCATGTGGTTTTTCTTCTTTTAAAGTGAAAATTTAAGTCTTCCTTTTATATGTTTATTAATTGAATTTAAATTTAATTTTATAGTACTGATGAAACTGCAACTGAAAATATCCTTAAAGCCATGCAGATTTATAGCAGCATATGTGGTACATTAAATATGACAACTCCTCGAGATGCTTTTATTACAGCCATGTGCAAAGCATCCCTGCCACCTCACTACACTTTAACTGTTCTGAACTCAAATTTGCTCAAATCAGATGTAAAAGGTATCTGGTACTTTCTTTCTTCTAAGTTTGTTAATCTACTGTAGAATAATATCATCATCATCATATATATATATATATATATATATATACACATATAATAAAAAGCTAATAACTAATAGAGCTATGATGTAAAAACTATTTCTTTGTAATAAGTATTTATATTCAATTTATGACATACATATTCTGTTCTGAATAATTTTGAAAATGCCTAAATAACAGTTTTTTGAAGTAATTTTTTTATTGATAATTTTAAAGTTAGTAATGTAGCAATATTTTCTTTACAATATTTTAATTTTTATTTTTATTATGCAGACATAATAATATATCTTGCTGAAGTAAAATTAACCTTTTCTCTTAATGCTAGAAAATAACTGAAGTTCATTTGTATTCTATATATGTAAGTGCAATTTTATTTTAAAGTAAAATTCTGTACTAAAACTGGAACTGCTTATGTGATTTTGGCAAGTACTTATTAAATTTCTGATATAACATTTAGAGTAAACATAGAAATTAGGTCTAAAGCTGTAAATAACATATATATGGGTGTTTGCATAAATTGAGGAACAGTAAATATATATATATATATATATATATATGAATATTTTGATAAAATTTAGAAAATATGTATTACATAATGATATCTCGCTATTGAAGTGATGCCCATGTTACACAGATTTGATCTTCAGTTTTGAGATTTTTTTTGCAATACAAAACTAATATTGCAATATAATTCAATGTGTAATTTTTTTGCTCTCTTCTATGGTGAGAATCAGAACATGTAAATATTCTTTCTGAGCAAGTTTCCACTAAGGTCAAGTCATAAGCTTTTGACAGGATTGCCACAGTACCTGGAAAAGTCATAGAATTTAAAAGTAGAAAAATAGACCTAAAAAAGTCAGGGAATTTAAATATTTTATATAAAATCTGGAACAGTCAGGGAATTTCTTGTGGCAGTCCCCCACCCCAAAAAGCGATTTTTTATGCCAAGCCATCACTTTCTTGGTGAATTATGTATCGTGTGAGTGTCATTTGGGCAACTGGCATGAAGCCAGTTTCTGCAGCTCCAATCAGATTGTCTTTTAAAAATGCAAAGCAAGTTTCCAGTAACCTTGAAAATTGAGAGATTCAGATGTGCATGTTGACATGCATGAAAGACAATACCTTCCCATTCTCGTATAAAACAAAATCGTTTAAATCCTAGTATATGGTATACACGGGATTTTGTGACATTATGAGCAGTAAGGAGGTTATTTTGATGTTTGCAACAATTTTGAAAATTGTGCCAAGACTGTACTAGTATATACTAGGATTTTATCACAAAATCTTTTAAACCTTTTTTTTTCTTTTTAATAAATGCCTTATTGGTCATTTTGCAGTAAAATAAGAAAAAATGGTAATCAATCATCTAGGCTAACCATTTATTATAATTATATTTGCCAAGCAGCCCAACCGGTATTATGGTTAGTGTCGCTGATTGCCATTCCGAAAAGCCCGGGTCCGAATCCCACAGAAGGCATGGATATAGTGTTGGTGGGGCATGGCGGCACTCTAAATGTACATTGAGCCAGAAATCCTCTTGTATGGTTTGGTGGAAGGTGAGAGGGGTGGGAGACCCTCAGACCTGTCCCCCCCGGGTGCTCTCCATCAAAATCGGGGGCAGAACTGAGCCAAATCGCACTGTCACCTGTTACGTGCTCAAGGCTGCTGCCAATGACAGGAATAATCTTGCGCTTCTTGCCACGAGGAATTTCGTCGGTTTAGGCTAACTACATCAGACAAATGAGTATAAGCAACAACATAGTCCACAAAATATCATTGATTGTTGTAATTCAGGTTTTAATCTCTAAATTATTAACTTTATTTTAATGTTATTCACAGCATTTAGTGTATCTTCTTCCCTCTAACTTTATTTATTTTTAGCTAATAGTACTTTCAAATTTCAGGCAGTTTTCTCTGTCGTACTCCTGAAACTAATTCTATTAGTATAATGACATACCATCACGAAATTTAATGCATATATTTTTTGCTTATGTATGCTGCTAAATAAATATACCTGAATTTATTTAAAAATATCATTAAATAGATTTCTTTCTTTCATTTAGCTTCAAAATGTCTGCCGAAAAAAGACATTTTTAAATCCAGATTGGGCAGATTCTAATCTCAATCTTTAGCAGAGAAAACAACTCCTATTATAGTTATAATAATAATGTTTTGGGGATAAGTCATGTAATTTGCAAATTTTTTTGTTTTTAAGTGGTACCATAAATAATTTACCCTTTAGCACAGGAAATGCACACTATGCAGATAGATTGGAATTTTCTTAAAATGCACCTGGAAAATCTGGAAAAGTCACAAAATTTCACTTTCCTGTTTGAGTGGCAACCCTGTTTTCTAATACCCGACGGACTAGTTGATTTTGCTTTGCTGACTTGAAGGTTTGAATGACTTGTATGAATACTGTATGCATTCGAAGTTCCAACCCTTCTGATTGAGGCAAACTGCTGCTTGAGCTGTATAGGGCAAAGTGTCCAGTGCATGCTGTTACAGAGTTATATCTATTACAGACCTGTAAGTAGTGAGTCTTCTATAGTAGTGAGGCAAAGTGTCCCCATAAGTGGAAGGTTAGATTAATTCCGGAGTTATTGAATCAATAAAATGGGTGGAGCGACATCAGCAACATCTCCTTTTGCTGTGCATTTTCTACCAAATCTCACTCTGTCATACCAGTCACATCTTCTCTGCTGTACTGTTAAGTTTTCAAATTTGAACCATGTCTTAAAAATGCTGATTGTTTCTTGAGTAACTGTCACTGCCCTTTTTCGACTGTCTTACTTGTCATATAAAGAGCATTTATGCCAGTAATGGTATATTTTGAGAGAATTAGGCTGTTGTTGTTGTTTATGGCTTTATTCGGAAATCAATCCATTTACGTCAAGCCACTCGCATAAAAAATGCCTATTCTGCTGAGATGTTCAGCTAAGCATTCGTGCCCTATATACAGTCTGGAAAAAGCCACAGCTTTTCTACGTTGACTGCAATTTAACTCATTTCAATCATTCCTGATATTCTGCCAGTGTTTATTCTTTGATTTAATTTGTAGTTCTGTGTTGTAAGCTGGCATATTCTCTTAGATACTTCTTCTAACAGAATCGAAATGAATGGAACTCTGTTTAGTAAATAACTCCGTATCCCTCTTAGCCAAGACATCTGCTTTTTCATTATGATCAATATCTATGTGGGATGGTATCCACTGAAATTAGACTGTTTTACCATTCCTATTTAGTTTCCTGATATCTCATTTTATTTTTGACCAAAGAGGAGTAGAGACAAACTGGTTTTATAGAGGCATTGTAGGTGAGCTTTAGTGTCTCCTGAGTATAGCCCCATTTTGTAACAGCAGTCAATTTAAGATAGGCAATCTTTTTTTGACACTAATCACAGTGTGCCTGATATGCTCCAGAAAATTTTAATTTACTGTTCCTTATAACCCAAGGTATTTTGTCCTACAACTTCCACATAGTAGTGTGTTATCCAAATACAAATGAAAGTCATATTCAATATGTCTGGAAGTAAAAAACTGGTACATAGTTTTTGATTTTTTTTTATGATAATGTGATTGTCCAAGGCCCAAGATTGAAGGGTCTTCAGAGCTTTATTCATATTAATCTCAAGTTACTGTTTCTGTCTTTGATAATTTCAACAGTTACTAGTTTCCATACATATTACTAGGTTGCCATCAGCAAACATGCTCATTTGATATGTTCAACCTGTTTTAGTTTCTTGATGAGATTATTAATACTCACTGAACCATGTGGAAGGCCGATCTTAGACTACCTGTATTTGGACTCTATATTTTTCCAACTAGTCTTAACCCATCTCCGAGTTAGAAATCTTTCAGTCTAGTTCTGTTTCTCCATTTATTCTTTGTTCTGCTAATTTGCTTAGGAGATTTTTCGAACAAATAATATCATAGGCCCCTTGAAAATCCACAAAAACTACCAAGGAACTTTTCGTAGAATTAAAGCCTGTTTTTACGGTATGAACAAATTTCATAATAGAGTTAGAGGTGGGCATACGATTTCTAAACCAATCCTGCTCCTCCTGTATAATTTCAGTAGTTTTAAGGAAAAGTTTCAGTCTAGTAGTCAGCACTCTTGAGAGAATTATTTGCTGCTACAATTTGATTAAACTTTTAAAAACTCAATATACTAACTTGCATGCAAAATGCATGTGCAGTAATTTTGATTCGCTCTGCATATAGAAGGTATTTCTTCAGAAAGCAACTATAGGCTGTATTTTTTCACATATTTATTGATAAATGCTTTTCCAGTCGCAAAATTTTTTAAAATATCATATAGGATTTTATAAGAAATGCTTACAGCATTAATGGAGACCATTTTGAAAAAAATTCAGTCTTTTTATGATACCCATAAAGTGTGTAAATTGGTGAGATAGGATTGTGTTACTGTTTTAAGAAACTATTGATCACACGTTTCGTATGATCAATTGTGCATCATTGCCATGATGCATATAACACTGTCTCTAGATTATGAGTTATCAGAAGAGGGTCCTAAAATATGATGAATATCAGTATAGCATTTCAATGGATATATCTGGACCAGATGGATGTCTAGCAAATGGTATTCCCAAGAATATATTATACCAAAAGTTGGATTGAAATATTTAACAAAGCTTCTTTTCTGACTTAGAAATGGTTCCTTAGTTTTAATCCTCAGTTATTTTAAACATTATCAAAAGTATTTTCACTAAGACAGTGTTTCCTATACCGTGGCGATAATTTGGGGTGTTTATATTCAGCATAACATTTTGTGTTTTTCAGCATGAAAGTGCTTACTTCAAACACATGTGAACTAGTATGCCCACACATACTAATGTGCATGCAAAGAAAAAAAGATAAGTTATGTATTTCCCATTCTGGTATGCTAACCAACAAAATTAAATTTGCATTTTGCATGTCTCAGATGGACGACTTAGGATATATATTAGATTTATGAATAACACTGTATTAACATTCATGTTTAAATTCTATTTTAACTAGGTTTGGTTTATAATTAACTATCATTAAAAATTACAACATATTTTTGATGTTTTTGTATAATCTGCAATTTAAACTTGCAAGTTAGATTGTCTTTTCTCTAATTTATTACAAAAAATTGAAATAATTTTTACAGATTATTTTGAAAAATGTTTGAATTATAACTTTAAAAATTTGATTTAGATATTTTTTACACGTGTTTGTGAAAGATTATATGCTTTGGAGTTTATGGTATGTTAATTTGTGTGTATGTGTATATAATACATGTATTTAAAAGTATTTGGGAGTGATTTCACATTTTTTTTTATGATTAGAACCAGTGATTATGTCTAATCTGAAACTCATGCTAATTTGTGTTATTCACATTTGAATTAATTTATTGTTATTTTTTCATTCAGTTTCATTTATCAATGAAAGTAAATATTTAAATATCTTGACCTAAAAATAAAGTGTAATCAATAATTTTAGCAAAGTTTTTTTTTTTTTTTTTTTAAATATTTAAGACAACTAACTATAGGTATTTGTTAACTTTTGATGATACAATTTGTGTTTATATGTTTGTATTAATTGAAAGAGTTTTGTTTAACTGACTACTGAAGCAGGCTTTTGAAATAAATTGCTATAAATAAGATAGCATTATGAATATATGAATGCCTGGGAGGGGTGATTAGGATAGTTATATTTTGATACAGTAGGTATGACAGAAGAGTGGCTTGGTGAATTGCTGTTTAGTTGTTTTCTATATAAACAGACCTAATTAAAAATGTGACTATAAGTCCTTTACCTAGTTTTTTTTTTTTTTTTTTTTTTTTTTTTTTTTTTTCTGTTTCTGGTTCTTTTGAGTTGCATGTAGCCATATTGCTACATCCTGTGTCACACATCATGCAAAGTTGCAAAGATAGAGCAAAGCAAAATATCTGGAAAGAGGGAATCATTCTGTGTCTTTGCTTTAATTAGTGAATGAAATTTTGAATGTTTGACCTCTTGAATTTTAAGAAAATATTTTTTATTTTTCTATCTCTTCCTTTTTTTTTAAAGGAGATAGAAGGCGAGATTGTGATGACTTGATCCATAGTGGTGTTAATTGTAACAATCTCTCTGGAGCAGCTCAGTTTCCCTTAGGTCTCTACTTAGGAAGTTGTGATGGTCATGAAATGAGACAGCAAGTTGTAGCTGTTGGGACACCTCTTCCCACAGCATCTTTACCACTTGGAGCTCAACAAGGCCCAGTTATGGTAAACTGGCTTTTACAGATAATACTGTTGTTACTGAATGCTTTGTAATCATCCTCTCTTTATTATTGTCAGTGTTAATTAAGTATGAGTTTTTATCTGTATTTTTATTGGATAAGAAAGAATCAAATTAAATCTTGGATGAGAATGAAAACTCCATTATTTCATTTATGAAAGAGGAAATCTTTAAAGTAAAAATAAATAAATAAATAAATAAATAAAAAATAAAATAATGTAGAATCAAATGTATCGAATGTGATTTTTTTTTCAAAATGAGCAGTCGTTGTATTATTCACTGCTCATTTTATAAATATTATACACGCTATTTAATTTAACATGTTTTAATTTTAAAGTAAAGGAATTTAAGAGAAAATATTTTTGTTTATTAGGCACAGCCTGAGCATATTCCATGTTATGAAATGAAAGTAAGTTTTTTAATGAAAGTATAAGTGCAGTAGAAAACTGAAAATTTCCCAATCTTAAATGTGTCCAGCCCTCAGATGTCACCTGTAAAATTCACAGTTGATCAGTGAAACTGTAGTGAACTGTGAAATTTCAAATGAATAAAACTGTGAAATTTCAAATCAAAAACTGGAAGTACATATCAAATGATGCCATCTTCAAAGGGAAACATTGGTCATGGATGATAACTGTGTGTTATAAATGTACTTCAGTTAAGGATATGTAGATGTCTGTGGCTATTGTTAGGAAAAAGTTTTCTCAATCCTTATTGAAGCAAGCTACTTTATGTTATTGACTATTGCTTTTATAATGCAGTGAAATAAATATCTTGCGGAAAGTCATCAAACTTATACATGTAAGTGATGATTAACACTGTGCCGTTTTATTTTAGCAGAACTGGAACTTCCATTATGATCAGAGCTGAACTAATTTTTAACCTTGCCAGAGCAGTGAGTTCTAAATAAATTCCTGTGAATTTTTCTGCAAATAATTATGGGAAAAAAAAAATCAGAGCTGTAAAATTTTACAATCAGGAGGTAATGACTCTTGTGGAATTTGATGAAGAGAGGAGAAATATAATTCAAATTAGAGCATTCATTGTTTCAAAACAAATTACTGTGAAACTGATGCTTTTGTACATAAAATTTCTTAAACTGTATGAACATAACAGAATTTCTCATCAATTTAAAAATTTAGGAAAATGAAAAAAAATTAATTTTTCTTAGTATAGTAAGGAAGTTTTGCCACCATTTCCATATCTGGTTACAAATTAATAAACAAAATTAATAAATAATAAACTGTATTTATGTAGCACACACATATTGATTATACACATGTATTAATAGATGCTAACTAAAATTTGTGCAAAAATGGTTTGGTGTAATTTAAATTTTCAAGCAATCGTGATAATATTGATGTTAAATTAAGTTGCATTGTCAATTAAATATATGTAAAGGAAAATGATTCACTAGGGGAACTTAAAATGTTTAAAAAAATCTAAGTTTTTCCAATGTTTAAGTTTTGTCAGACCTCATACAGACTGTTGTGGGATAACCAGTTGTTAGATTGAATGTATCTTAGTATCACAGTAGGGCTGTAAGGGGCACTTTTTTGCATTTTCTAAAGGCATGTCAGAGGGCATTGGAATTAGATACTAAGGCATGTACATCTCAAGTAGAATATTTTTTGTGAATCAGCATTTTTTCTACTCCCAATTTATTTTTTTTTGTTGTTTGTTTAATATTCTGAATAATTTATTGCCATTGAAAAGTTTGTTTTTATTTCTAATGGAATCTACACCCCTGATTTCAGTATTTGATAGAATTATGTTTTTGAGGACACACAGAACAGTAGCCTAGCTACATATGCACGTATCATACATGTGGATTTACATGCTGTGCAACTAATTGCCATTTAGCTGAACGGTCTACTTCAGCAGTAAAAATGTAAATACTTGCTATGTAAATCTTCATTCTTTCTTATAAAATGCTTCTTTTAAAAAATTATTATGAACTGTAGTCAGACCGAATGAATATTTTTTACCCATTCAACAGTCACCAATGAGTTAGCAATTTAAGGAAGAGGTGGATGATCAGGAATTACCAAATATTGTTTATTTCATCTACATATCTATTGTAAGAAATAGTAAAATTTCTGTCTTTATTTCTAATGGTATATTGTTTAATATATGTGCATTTTGTTTTACTTTGCTTATAAAGTAGTAATATTGAATGTTTTATTTTCAGTTGACTGCTAAAAATTTACAGTGCATGAGAGCTGTGCTTAGTTTAGCCCATTGCCATGGAGCTGTTTTGGGTACCTCGTGGCACCTTGTGCTTACAACGTTACAAGTAAAAAATATACTGTATTAATAGAAATTGTATTATGCCTGTGTTTCACCCCCTAGCTTCTGTTATCATCTAATGTTTGTTTGCAGAAATTGAGGTGGTTTCAAGTTTTAAAAGTGCTTAGTTAGCATAGGTTATGTATATCATAGCAGATAGAATGAGAGTTAGACCTAGAGCATGAGTCTTTTTAAAATAATCAGAGTGTAGGTTCAGTTTCTATGGTTCTTTTGCAGGTAGTTAGAATTTAGTCTAAAATTTCTGTATAAGTTATTAAATTAAAATATACAGTAAATTCATTAAAGAGAACCAAGAAGTATTTTGACAACCATGTTGAGTTAACATGAAAAATTTTAAAATATTTGCATTAATCTGTGCTGTGTTAGTGCATTGAATTACAGCATAGGAAATATTTTAGTGATACATGAGAAACAAGATAGTTTACCAGTTTGCTGTGCAATTTAACCTTATTTCCTTTGATGGCAGTAAGCTGATAAATTTCATTTTAGTGTATAATTGATACTTTGTAATATAATTTTTTATTTTATTTCAAAGATTCATTACAGTGTAGTCTTTTTTTTTCACAGGCTCATAAAGGCAGCTTAAAAATTTGTTTCCATTTTCAGATGTCAGATAAATGAGAACAAATATCCTACGAATCATCTGTCTATAATACTGCAGCTAAAGGACAGATATACTGTTTTTGAAGCATGATGGTTTATCATTTGAGAGAAAGCAAGTACTAGGGCTCAATTTCATAATAAATGTAATTTTTTTACTACCATTAGGGGCACAGGATTTAAAAGAAATCTCCGAAGATCTCTGAATCCTTAGCTGTGAAACTATTCAGACTAGATCTACACATATTAAAAATAGACCAGTTTGGGTTCCAGTTGTTTTGGAAGTTGCCAGTTTCTTGATGTTATTCAGAGTACTTGTGTGTTTTTCTCAGTATGACTATTAAAAGTCTTCTTATTATGATGAGACTGTGAAAAGAAGTCAGTGATTTATGGCTGAAATTAAGGTAGAACTGATGAATAAATAAATATCTTGCATTTGAAGGTTATCATTCTGCCCAAGAAATAGCTCTGTTTTTATTTAACAGTTAAACAGCTTTTTCTTTTAATTGCTGTGATTTATGTATTATTTATGTACAGCAATGGCATTTCTTAACTTCATTTCTGTCAGCAGTAAGCAAATGGGATGTTTTGTTTTTAGGGGCTTTTCAGGAGGTTTATGGGCTTCATTAATGACTAAGAGCAGCAATTCCTGAACATTTTAACTTGTGGAACCCTTTAGGCACTAGTCTGTGTCTTACAAATTAATTATGTATTAGAACTGCATTACAAAGATAAGGAAAAGGTATAGATAGTAAGGGAATGTAAAGTGAGGAAATACCAAAACAGTTGAATATCCATGAAATGGAGTTTTATTTCAAAAATTTTTAATTTACCATATTTTTTTTCAATTTATTCTCAATGTAATACTGTCAGAAATTGTCCAGATGTAAAGTTCTTTCTAAGCTCAATTAATGAAAACAGTTTGTGTTGCAATAAAGATATACATAACTGCTCGGAGCACCATTAAGGTTGTTACAATAAGTTCAGTTCTTGCAAGTTGATCATTAAATGCTGTTCAAGTACATATTCATTAAATACTTTTTATTTGAAATTTTTATTACACATTATAAAAGAAAATTGCAATTCAGTTTTACTATTTTGTAATTATATAAACTTTCCCACGAGATATCTTTTCAATGGGTACCTTCACACTGCAGTATTTATGGGAATGAGATATGCTTGCGAAAAAGGAGGGTACGGTTCTCCAAAAGCCAAAAAGGAGTGCAAGCCTGTATTCTATTAAGCTTCTGACATCGCTAATATATCAAAAGACATTTAGAGATTTTGCCACTCGGGCTTGTGAGGGCAAGCTTTGGAGTGATCTCTCAACAAATCCAGCTTTTGTTCTTGACCACCCGCGAACAGTTGCGGTTGCATCTTTTAGACTATTGACGGGACATGACTGTCTACAGAATCATTTATTTCCCATTGGACTAGCTGATTTGCCAGTGTTGTATGTAATAGTGGATGGCCAACGACAGTGGAACATTTAGACGAGTGTGGAGCACTGACAAATTTTTCTTGTAGATTTCAATGCTATTGGCAAGCAAGGAGTTTAATGGCCTATGTCACTGGCATTTGACAAATAAATAAATAAATAAATTTTGTAATTATATTACACTGTAAGCCTTTGTAAGGTTTATGTTAATTTTTCTAACAGCTAATCATTATTTGAAAGTTACTTTCCTGTCTTCCTGAATTTCATCATACAGCTTCCGGCCAGAATGTATTTTCAGAATCATGCTTGAATGCAAATGAGGAGAGGTATCTACTGACTTCGTGAGGCAGCCAGTGATTCTGACTAGCGTGGTTTGCCTTTTTAGGCTACTCTCTCTTTTAAGCTATTAATACTGTTACGAAATGTACAGGCGCGGTAAGATGGCTTCCCCACAAAGCAGTTTTAGGGTTCCCATAAAATGGCAAAGGAGGGCAGAGTTGCCACATTTGGCGAAAAATTGCCCATTTGGCGACATTTGGTGACAAAATTGGCGATATTCCATGGATGGTTGGAGAACCTTCTGGAATGAATTCTTACCGGTTTAGCCCAGAATGTTCCCGAACACAAGCCGAAAGCTATATAAACCCTGCAGGTCTGCAGTCAGTTAATGTGTATGCTTTGTCTAGCGAGCTGATAGTCAGTCATTGAGCGAGTGTCTCGAAGTCTAGCGCTGAGATGGTTGTTGAGTGCATCGAGAGAGTCTTTTAGTGCATTGCAAATTAGTGCATCGTCGAGTTTTGTCTTAGACTGTGCTGAGTCGAGAGCTATACTCTTGTGTATCGTCGAGTGCATCGTGTGGTGAGTCTCGAGAGTACATGGAGTTCCGAGAACAAACAAGCAGAGTTGGGAGCTGTACTCGGGTGCTTTGTGGAGAAGCTGTCTCCACCATTATTTCCTGACAGTGTAAAGGCTGTGTCGCTGAACGTGTCAGCATGTTTATAACAGTTCGACGAATGAAAAAGTGATTTTGGTCCTGAGAATATTGGTAAATAAAGTGTGCTTCGATACTTCATCAAGTGTCGTTGTTATTCACTTCAAATCCACACGAACCCCGTACGAATGTGAAGGAAGAAAATAACGCAACAACTGGTGTCAGAAGAATAGGAAAAACGTAACAATATGCTCGGCTGTACTTTAGGCCCTTTATAGCTTCGTTAATTAGCATTAAGGGGCCATCTCTGTTAAAGTCTTGATAGCTTCGACTATATCTTTTAAGTTAAGATTAGTTAAGTTTTAGTTCTTAGTTTCCTGAGTTCAAGCCCGAGTGGAGGCTTTATTGCCAAGAAAGAAGTCATCTGCTAAACTTTATTTGGATTAATAAAGGGTAATTTAACCCTTCTTACGTTTTGTTCTCTGTCTCACGAACTTAAGCAAATATTCGCTTATTAGTTCTTATGGTTCCTTAATTTAACTGCAACTTAAAGGTAAACAGGTTGGAATCTTACGCCTTAATTAAGACAGAGCTTAAAGTGATATAAAAACATTTAATCATTCTAATATACTTTGGTTTAGAAACAAGAGTCTTAGTTTACTGTTAGATGTTTATGAGGATACCCTACTCCTTTGAGTTCAAAGTGGATAGTTTTTTGTTTGTGCTGAACATATTCAGTAACCATTCAAAGCCATCCAAGTACCTTCTCTTGGAATTGTCAGTAAATAAAATTCAAACTAGGTTTTCAAAGCTTTGAGATGCTCTTGAATATTTTGCTACATTTTTCCTTCAATTTGGATGTTATTTTTTTCCAGGAAGGTTTATATAAGGTTATGCAATCATTTTTTTCCAAGCCATCAATTTAACATGATATAACATGTAGCCATCAATATAACATGTTTCTGTTAAAAGAAGACCCCTTTGTTTTTGCATCAAGAACTGTGGTATCCCTCCTGACAATTATAGATTCCTGTGCTACAAATTTTGACTAGAATGCCATTTTACACATCCAGACTTCAACATTTTAAAATTTCATCCGTATCATTGTGGTCCTTTAAAGGATTACTTACTTCCTTTGTGTGCAGTTCAAATATATCAATGCTTTTTGTAGAGATAATCACCTTAATTTAGCATGCAGCATGAGGGGTTTATGATGGCATCTTGAGCCTGCTTTTGAGAGGTGACAGTTTTGTACTGTGTATTATTTTCTTAATTAATGAACACTTACTAGCTGCACAACTAAACCTCACCAAAGAATGAAATCCACAGGAAATGCAATTGGTCGAAATCAAGTAGCCGTCTTTGTTTATTATGGAACTAAGTTTTGAGAAGCATCGAAGAATTCACGAATTATTGAGAATGAGTGGAAAAGTTCTCGAATTGCCACTTTCATGCAATGTCAAGTATCATCTGCGAGAATAATTGCTGTTGAACATTTTTTATTCCAAATGTAACTTCTAAATTTTGTATTTTGATTTCACTTTTAGTTTCCTATTCTTTCATGTAGTTTGTTTTACTTTCCTGGAGTGGCTGAGAAGTCTCTAGGAAGCATATTGGGAACTACTGATTTAGAGGACACTAGATATCTAATATAAATGCTGCAATACATTTATTGTTTTTCAGCGTGGTTCTGTTTAACTGAAAAGGCAAAATCGCTGTATGGCTCATTGGTTATAATGTTTAGTCTGGTTTAAAATTTTATTGTTTTCTGACACTTGATTGTGTTTCATCATATGTGAAGAAATGTTCTTTCTAGCTGAATTAGGTTTAGTTTAGTTAGACATTTCACATTAGCAGTGTTTGTTTTAAACCATTCTAGGAAGTTCCCATCTGAATGTTTCATGATTTGGAGTATTTATCTTTATTATAATCTACTATAATATGCAATGTAATTAATCATAATGATATTTAGAATTAGATTTATTTTAATTTTACTAAGACATTTCACTTCAGCAATGTGTTTCTTGAATCCATTAGGAAGTTCCTGTTTCAATGTTTCATGATTTGGAGTATTTATCTTTATTATAATCTACTGTAAGATGTAATATAATTCATCATAATAATATTTAGCCATATTTATTACATGTGCATTGTATATTGTTATATTTATTACATTTGAAAATTTTGAATTTGCAGCATCTTGTATGGATTCTTGGTTTGAAACCGTCTACTGGGGGAAGTCTAAAGGCTAGTCGATCAACTGATTCCGCTAATGCTGTCATAACTACTGCAGTTATGGCTGATTTACCTGTGCTATCAGCTATGCTATCTAGATTGTTTGAAAGTTCTCAGTAAGTAAAGTGATTCTTTGATTTAAAGTGAAACTTTTGTAATTTCATATTTCATTTTTTCTGCTTTCCCATGAAAATTTTAGAAATTTTGATGGTATTTTGGTCAGTTATGGTATTTTTATTTCATTTTCTCCCATTTATTGCATATTTTTAGTAATCTGAGGTCTATAAATGCTGAGAATTATAAGCAGGGGGAAATTAATGAACTGTAAGTCATCTAATATATTCAATGCAGAGTGATAGGATATGCCTTGTTGCCGACTGTGGTCTATTGCAGCAACATATAGTTTCAGCATTTCATTGTGTGTAGAAGAAATTAATTTTTATGTCTACAACAGCAGTACTGCAAATTCTGTGAATTGGCTTTTATTAATATTCTTCAACTTAACTTTGCTTACTCTCTACTCTTATTTTTACAAACTAAAATTTTCACTGAAATTTATTTGAACCATTTATCTTTTTTTAATATTAGTTTTGCCCTTTTGAATTTATTATTTCCAATGTTTTAGCCTTGGCAGCTACTTTAGGGGAAAAGTGACTTTATCTTTTTTAAAAATGTGATATTTTATAAGTTTGTAATTAAGAGTAAATATTAAAAAAAAATCATTGATATAATTATTTCTTTTATCACATAAATTTAAAGTCTTTTGGATGATTTTGTCCCATAATTATGTTAGTTATTCAACACTATTTTACTGCTATTTGTGTTTAAAAGGATGTTAGTTATATTAGACCTCAGATGTTGAGGTTATGGCAGCTCGTGGAGCCAGCCAGTGCTTGCAAATTTGAAAGAGTTGAATTACCATAGAAGAGATCTTTTGTGATGAGGTAAATATTTCACTTTTATGAAACGGATTGAAGTTCTATTATCCTTCAAGGCCACAGAGGACTTTTGCATTGCACTTCTGATTTGACCTATAGGTGCCACTGCTAAAAACCCTGATTGAGCCACTGCTAAAAACACCAAAAGCAGATAACAGCTGCGAGCAATAAATCTATGACTGCCTCGTGGCCGCCACAAGATGTTATAGTGATTTCTGAAACCTTTCTCCCATCTTTTGTACATTTATGATGTAAAACTACTGACCTAATAAATAAATATAAAAATAAAGTTTCATTGGAAGAGTTTAGCTACAGCTTATAGTTTTTTAGTATGTGAAATGTACGCAATGCAGAATGGATGATAGCATTTCACCATTATTGGCCCATAAATTCTGAAGCTGTTAAAGAGAGCTGAATAACAGATGAATATGTGGGCTTGAACCCTTTATAAGTGTGACCTGGCTGTATGAGAGGGTTAGTCTGTATTCAGTTGCGAATACAGATGCATGTATATTGTGTTAGTCATGTTTTATTATACATTCTATTACATTGGTTAGAACATTATGCGAACATACTCTCTACCTTATGTATTAGGTGGGGGGTTAGAAGACAGTCAAGAATCATCTTTAGAGTTCTAGACAAATTCTCTTGATAAGAACTAAGGGCCTCAATCCCAGAATGCAGACCCAGACACCAAGCGGGCACACAGGCATTCTTCTCACTTTAGGTGCAAGAACATGAAGGGGTAGCAGTTACTTCTCCATGTTATTTGGCAGTTGTGTTACCCACTTGGATGGCCGAAACTATACATTCTATCACATTGGTTAGAACATTATGCGAACATACTCTTTACCTTATGTATTAGGTGGGAGGGGAGGTTAGAAGACAGTCAAGAATCATCTTTAGAGTTCTAGACAAATTCTCTTGATACGAACTAAGGGCCTCAATCCCAGAATGCAGACCCAGACACCAAGCGGGCACACAGGCATTCTTCTCACTTTAGGTGCAAGAAGAACACGAAGGGGTAGCAGTTACTTCTCCATGTTATTTGGCAGTTGTGCTACCCACTTGGATGGCCGAAAACACACTATCTAGGACAGCACAGGTTGCTCCTTCTGGCAGTAGGAAGTGCATTTGGGTTATTAGGCCTCCATAGTTGCTAGTGTCATATGATTAGTGATAGTGAATGCAACCTGGGGGTGTTCATATTAAGACAAATGTAATCAAATCAAAAACTGATGCAGGATGCTTTATTGGTATGAGAATTTAGTTTTATCTATGTTATTGCCACGTAAAAGGGGCTGTACTCACAAGTTCAGTATCTAGAGTGTTTTCTGTGATTGAAAGAATATACAGAGACTAATTCAGAAAAACTTGTAAGACACAGCCAAGGTTCTGACATTGTGTGTAAACCTGTTAGAAAAATCATCATCACATTAAGATGTCTTCAGCTGACCATTTGGCTTCATTGATAGTATTGGCACATCATTGCATACATTAGTATATTTTATAGTGTCATATTATGTCATTATTATCATTTTCAGAATTATCTTATAAACCACTTCTCGAATTACCATTGACATCTCAACAACTTACTACCAGACTACAGTGATGCATAAAATGTATGGCAGATGTAATGGTCTGACATTGTCTTCTTTGGTGATTATGGTTTTATTTGAGTGAAAAAAAGGTTGCATGCTTGTCTTTTCTCAATGAGGTGAGAGGTATTGAGAAGACTGCATTTATTTCTTTGATTATCATGTCATTGATGAGTGTTCTTGTATGTCATGCTATTACATTTAAAATCAGATCAGCTGTCATAAGAGTTCAGCCATCATAACAAGTGCTCAATATATCAGCGATGTTCTATGACCATCTGCATATCCATACTTACAATATGTCACACAGGTAATTTTCTAGCAAGACAAAGCTATTTCTCCATTTCAGAAATAACAAGACTTCTCAGTGTTCAATGTCTCAATTTTTCCATGGTGATTTTGATCACCTGATTTATGCTTCATTGAAAATATATGAGATATAGCCAAATGAAAAGAGATGCACTGTGACAGTTCTACAGCATATCTTGAACTTTTGATGTGAGTTAAGGCAGCATGGATGTCTGTTCCCCAGGACATCATTAAAACTGTTTCTTTCAATTCCATGTTATGCAGAGCAGCAATAAAAATTAGAGGTGCACACATTGAATATTAATTTTGTTGACTCTCGTAAAGTTATTTTTTTAATTCTATTTCTGTCATTCCTGCTTTACATATCTAAAAAATAAAGTTGTAGCTTTCTAAATGTTCTGTTTCTTAACAGCATTATGTGTATTTTCATGAAACATAGCCTTTTCATAACAATAAGTAGCTAACAAATTTTTTTCTGATATTTATTTTAAATCTAGGTTTTTGTGTTTTATGTATAAGTATTTAGAATTTTATAAAATTTTTAAGGTTCTTGGTGTATGTGTATTAGAGATGAAAAATATGATTAAGTCATATAATTACAGTTTTACTAAAATTAGAATGCTTAGTGATCTGTTAACAGTTGGAATTTTGTGATGATTTTCTTCATATATTAAGCTTATTAAAGAAAAAAATAATTTCTTATTTTAAAAGGCATCAGTTGCTCATAAGAAATACATAATGTTTTTGGTTCACTAAAAGTTTTAAAGAAATTTTTTTAGATCTGAAGGCAGCTATGTTTTAATAGTTTTTCTTGTAACTTTAAATTTGTGTGTTTAAATGTTTTATTTACTCTTTAAATTTGAAGTAATGAAGTGTAAATTTATGTTTTTGGAAATAACATGCTGTGATATTCATGAAGAATTTTTAGCAACTATCTTCTGTTAGTGATACCCTCTGACTCATTCTCCCCCCCCAAAAAAATGCTGCTTTAAGTTGTGTATTGTATTGCTAGATTTACTTAAGAAGAGTGTTTTAAAATCTTTTGCAATTTTTTATGAATGCATGCATAAATCAATTTTTTAATAAATTTTTTCAGTATTTGTTTGACCTTTAACTATGTTTTGTTTTACAATAATGTGTGCATTTTTAAAAATTTTATGTTACATGGAATAGTGTTTTTATTTTGGTGGAAGTCTTAAAACTTTCTTTCATTAAGTATCTGTGCTAGTATTAATTTATCTGTTCAGTTTTATTTCTGTGCACGTTTTGCTAAAATTAATGTATATTTATTGTGGAGTGATGCACAGTACGTAAAATATTCACCTTTTACTTTGTGTACTCCTGTTTGGAAAGTAATAATTTCTGTTTTATGGCATGCTGTGAAATAATTGGTAGCTGTTTGATCTATTATGTCCATACTAGTTTGGGAGCAAATTTTTTATATTCTTCCCTTACTTTTTTCTTACTTTTATTTGGTGATAGTTTCATACTATAGTAGAAGTTTCAATTATTAACATTAATTGTTGCTGATATTTCTTTCTTTTGAAATGCCTCCAGTTATGTGCCATTGGCTGGCACATTGTCACGTGTGTTTCACAGCTCCCAGTAAGTGACAGCTCACTCTTACTCCAAAATGCTTGCTTTATTTATTTATTTATTTATTCTGACAAGGCATATCTTTCTATCTGCAGATCTCAGTTATATTGTTTTAAGTGTTAACAATTGTATTTAACACTGAAATATTTAAAAATGCAGGCATATGCAATATATACCAGGCAATTATCCCAAGCTTCAGTTTTTTTTTAAATGTCTCTGAAGATGCTACATGATTACATAAGATTTTTCTTAGAAACCTCACAAGTTCAATATCTACAGGCTAATTGCTATTCATAGAGAAATATGTAAATGAAGTTGTTTTAACATTTGTGTAATAATTAAAATATTTGAAACATGAACTGATAATTATTAATAACATTCCATTTTTACATATTAGAATAAATGTAAAATAATTTTATTCACAAAATTTTATGAAGGGTTTGTGTAACAAAATATTACAGAGATGTAACATTTGTCTGTTTTTATTGAATAGCATGTCTACTTTCCATCTGTGATTTGAATTATGTATAAATGAAAGAAGAAATAAATAAAAAATAATAACGTTTAAATTTTTTTTTCAGAAATAAAGGAAAAGTAATAAAATTGTAAAATTGTAATGTGTTGTAAGTAGGTTAAAGGGAATTTATTTCCACTAATGATAATTTCTAAACTGAG